ACCACCGACCAACCAACCGTAACCGTAAACCCGTAACCCCTACCGTACCTACCTACCTAACTACAACTAAACCTACCTACTACTCTCCTCTCCTCTCTACTACTACTCTCTCTCTCTCTCTCTCTCTCTCTCTCTCTCTCACATCATGCACAAAAGACAAACTACCTCCACATTCATTCCCAATGACGTCCATTTTCTCCTCAACTCTCTCTCTCTAACTGAAGATACTTTTTTTTTTTTAGCAGTTTTGAGAGGTGGCATTCAAGGTGGTTTTGGAGGTACCATTTCTAACACTCTGCCTCACCTGATTTTCAAAGCCTTAAGCTTTACAGTGATGGGAACATGAGCACACTGATGACCCATTTAGCATTATAAGCTCATGGGTGCGTGCATCATTGCTTACAAAGCCCCTCTGTGCATGGCCATTATAGGGTTCATCAAAACTTGCAATTTTGGGAATAGCTCTCAGCTGTGCCTTATTTGTAAGGGACCTTAGTCTCTAATATCTCTTTATTTACTGATCTCAGTATCTTTCTCAATACTAAAAAGTTCACATGCACAATCCGTGATACTTTAAAGGACATTCTCTCTCTTCAACTGAGCCAGGTTTGAGCAACAACAAATTTAAATGGCTCTTCCCTTTTATCGATGCCTAGTCCATATACCTTGACTTTAGAGTCAATTAGTTTACTGGGTTTTGCCTAGTGATCTTTTCACCACTACTTTAGATCAGTGTTCGCAAAATAAAAAACTCGTCGATCTAATTGGGCAAATCCTGAGTGGTAAAAAAATATTAACAAAAAATAAAAAAAATACAAAAATAAATCTACTAAAGTATAAAAAGCATAAAAAGAACGATTAAAACAAAACACATTTAAATGGAGTAGAAAACTAATGAAAAAAATACATTTTAACTCATTTTATATTTTTCAATGGCTATTTTTGAAATTTTCTAAAAAATATGGAAAAATATAAAAGTGAATATTAATGACCAAAACAATTTTTAATATTTACGACAATGTAAAGAATATTTAAAACTGCATTACAAATCAAATTCCTTATTTTGAAAATTTATATACATTTTTTTGAATTTTTTGTTTTTTTTAAATACCGATTGATCACTCTAACTGCCCAAACCCCAGCCAGTGGCCGGTTCCGATCAAACCGGATGTTTAACGGTTAGATCGGGCGATTTTGCAAATAATGTTGTAGATGTAATTTTCCTTGACAATATTAAGTAGCCAATATCTCTAAGAATAGAGAATTCCAAGGGGAATCCGGACACTATCAAAACCCCAAAAATCAAATATATTTTTCGCAAGAAATGTATTATGCAAGAATTAGATTTTGAGACAATATTTTTCCAGGAATCCAAGTGCCCCTAAAGGAGTTCAAGAGAAAAAGCTAAAGGATTTCAAGAGAAAAAAGAACATAGCATTCATCTCTAAAGCCGTATCCCACAAGGTTTTAGCCGTGTCCCACAAGGTTTTTAAGCGGTTTTGTGGCCCACCCGTGTCCCACAAAGTTTTTAGACTATTTTGTGGCCCACCAAAAGGAGTTCAAGAAACCTGAATGAATGTGCTCATCTTTGCCCGTCACATGTCCCACACTACCGCATATGTTCCACACACGAATGGTAACATTAGTAAAATAGTATTTATTCCCACGAGATTTTTTCTGTGAGCTCGATATGAGATAATTGTGATAAAATAATAACTGAAAAAGAAATATAATATAATTATTAAATGATTTACCAATATCACAAATGAATGTTTAACATGGTGATTAGCGTACCGATTTTTGCTTTGAATATCACGGGATCAACTCCTAGCTAGGTTTCAACATTCCCTCACAAACAAATAAAAATTTTCCTTTAGAAAATAATTTTTTATACAAAAAAAAAAAATTATACAACAAAATTTCTTTTTGTTGTCAAAATAAAAAATTATTGTCGGAAGAAATAAAAAAAAATTTGTCAAAAAAAATATCAAAAATCATACATCAAGTATTTCTTAACAAAAAAATAAAAAGTTGGATTTGTTATTATTTGTATAATAAAATAATTATATAATGCAAACCAACAATTTCAATTTCAGTATATAATGTTTTCCACCAATTTGAGATTTTGATGACGATTTTTCATCAATTTAAACTTTTCTTTATTGCAATCCATGTATGATTATATACTAATTATATGATTTTTTTTTGTTTGATGTAAATTTAATGGTTAAAATGAATTCATAAAGGAAAAAAACATTTCCATATTCACATATTGATGAAAAAAATAAAAATTAATAATGTAGTACTCCAATTTCTTATTTGATTCTTAAAAAACAACATTTATAATGAATTTTAATATTTTTTTGAGATTTTTTTAAAAACTTAATCTGACCGATTCGACTGATTCTCGATCCGAATAACCGATTCACCGATCCGGATCACCGATTCACCGATCCGAATGGATTTTTGGATCCGTTTTTTAATCCATTGGTGCAAAGTTTACCCGTCCCAAGAGGCAATTATAGGCACTTCACAGGATTCCCATTTTGTTATATTGTTTCTATATTCGGTCGCCGAAGATGCGCTATATTTATAGAGACGGGATGGAGGTTTCGTAAGATATGGAGAACTCTACTAATATTTTAGGGTGTACCTTTTACAATGTTTCAAGTTAGAGTCATCCATTCTAAGTAAATGGGGCAGTGTGGATTGGAGCCTTGGCGGTTGCAAGACTTATTCACAACACTTAAAAACATGAAAACTCATTTTTACATGGTTTGCTTATTACCAAGATCTTATAGTCAATAAGATGCAACGGATGAGGCTAACAATAAGTTTTAACATGAAATAGAATAGATATTTATAGCTTTGCGTTTGATCGACTGAACCTTGGATCGATGCAGACAACAACCTGCAAATTATATTTGCATGAACATAAGGGAAGCAAAAATTTTACAAAATATGATAGAAATCACCAAAATATGACTAACTGCTAATTAGTTTGCATACCTTCCCCAGGCTTTTACCAGAGTGAAGATATTCAACAGCATCTGCAACAGAATTGAGTCCAACAAATTGCTTTGGGTCTACTACAACCTGTAAGAGAAAATAATAATTAACAGTTGTCTCCTAGGATGCATCTATATCAGAGAATGGCACTCTTAGACTCCATGGTGAAGCCGGCTACCCATCAACAACTTCCTTGATGTCTTCTTAGACCTCTTAGTCATTAATATCCAAAAGTTTATATGGGAGCAAACTACAATCCTAAAGACTATGGGGAAATAATAGTCCTTGGCATTGAAATAATGGATGGTAATGGAGAATAACCGAACCAACTGGTGGCTTCATGTCTTTTGTCCTGTGGGTCCCAACCATTCACCATCACCATTCAAAGTTTCAATGATGGTAATGACCCTTCACCATCACCACCCTTAGTCCTAATTTATGAATCTAGGAAAACATAAATACTAAGAAGTCTCTGAAAGTGATTCTCAGAGATTAATATAAACTTCTATCGGCAAATTACATAAATGCATATAAGAAATACTTCCCATAACAACTTCTAGTTCATTCAAAGTTAGCTGCAAATTCAGCAATGTCACACAATAAGTTCTAAGCATAATATGAAGGGAAAAGATCTTGTCAGCCCACGGGCTGATAGCTACAATGTCAGCCAATGGCCCAGATTGAATTTGGGCTGATCTAACAGTCACGACCTCATTTCCTATTTGAATTTTCATTTTTTTCTTACAAATCCAAATCACCTGAAATTTGGAGCGTCTATTCTTAAAAAATAGAATAATCTAATAAAAATATAAAAAAAATAATTTGTA